AAAAAGTAATAAATTTTATAGTGGTTTACAAATGAGCAGATAAATTTGAAAAAACTTACAATTCCGAAAAATTAAGTATCCGAAAATTGAAATTTTTCTAATTTTGAAAGCGTAAACTTGAAAGTATAACTATGACTTCAAATTTGTTATTTTAATCCTTGTCCCTGCTGTTTCATACTAGGAAACGCAAATCTAAATTATTCTGCATTTGCGCAATTATTTAATTTTGTTTGGGGTTTTCGTGTAATAAGTTGTTGAAAAATAGAATTTCTCGAATTTTGAGAGTTGTAAGCTTTTTTAAAAGAGGGTAGGCAGATAACAATTTTCTTCTACAAAAATTGGTTTCTGATAAAGATTAATTTGTGTACGCAATTTTTGTTTTTCATCTTAAGAAGAGGTTGAAGAGTAAACTTGTCTTATTTTACGAATACCAATGATTTTTAACTTTTCTAGTAAATTTCAGTTCTGTATCATAAAAGTACACTACTCATATGTAAGTGAATCAAGCGAATTCGAATGTCAAAATCGCCAACGAAACTTACAAAAAATCTAAACGAAATAAGTAATACTGCATAACAAGATCAAGAAAAAAATTTTAATTTTATTTTCATTGAAATTTAGTTATAAAATAATATTAGTTGGATAAATTATTTTTAAATCCTTTATATAGTTTTCTTTATGCGTGCATCAGGAATTTATTGAATTTTTTTTAAATAAACGGTGATGATGAATATTATTATTTTATAGGATATAAAATATGAATTTGTAATTTATTTTTTTTAAAGACCCAATTCCCATCTTGAAATATTGAGTTGGTTTTTGATTTTTTTTTTTGATTTGATGAGGTCTACTCGGTTTTTCTCTGTTTTTGATAAGGGAGAAGCAAAAAGCATTTATAGTAATTATTATTAATGAAATCATTTTACAACTCAATTAACTGGTTCGATTGACCTTTTTTTCTTTTAGTTTCATTTTCTTGTAAATTAATACGCAGTTTTAATTGTTTCCAATTAATTTAAATGGTAAATATATTCAAATTTATAATTATGATGCCAACTTGAATTTGCAATGAAATTGACAAAAAATGTAAGGTAGAAAAAAATTACAAAATAAAGCCGTGCAAGTTTATTTTCGTGCATGCAAAAGATGCATGCAAAAAACAAAAATTTTTGAATTTAGTTTACGTAGACGATAATTAATAAATAAGAAATTAAATAAATAGCCAAGTGATTTGTATTGTTTTTAACGTTATTAAGAATTCCAAATATATGTTCTTTAATTAACTTAACGAGCCTTAATAACTTCAAAACTTCGAATCTTTTACATATTGGGATTGCAAATAATAATACTCCCCGTTTGTAATACTCAAATTATCAAATCCTCGTCTATGTTCTTAATCGCCGTTTACAACACCAACAAATAATCAACAAAGCCAAAGTAGTCATAAAATTGATAAGCATTTATTTGCGTGAAGAAAAAAACTAGTTCCTCTTTTCTTAACAAGCTGGAGCTCGTAAAATTAGTATATAAGTATTCCTTCGCGTCCAAATAATTTTTTCCTGGAAATTGATCAAAGAATCATCCATGAAATTATTTGTTATCATATGCGAAGCACTCAGTATATAAATACCTATGATAAATCTTTTATATGAACAATCAAAAATTAATATTAAAGAATTGACATGAAATTGAACAATTATAACACCACAGAACTATTCAGTTCAATATTAAAATTTTATAAAATTCCATCAACTGTTAAAGGAGCAGTTCGTGATCAACGGAAATTTTTCACTTTTAAGTTATTGACATTATAAAAAAAAAAATTTTAAATTTTTAAAATTCAGTGTCTTGTGAACAATATATCAAATCGGCCATTTTAAAACAACTAGTAATAATAATAATAATAATTAAACTTTATTTTCATCAACTGAAACTTGTAAGACCTAATGTTTGTATGAAAAGAATTCAAAATAAACTTATAATTATAAAATATACAAAAATTCAAGGTTATAACAAATTTATAAAACTTTAGTTATTCGACAATACTAAAGCTAGATATAAAATTTAGCTGAAAATATGTAGTTAGGAGTATTCTAATGTCCAAAGGAAATTAATTGAATGCACCATGATTATGTAAAAATTCAAAAATAATTAAAAGACATTGGGGTATTTACAGAATTAATTGAAATTTAAAAATAGTGACAGTGACAGTGAATACAAAAAAAATTAAAAACAAATTGATATTATAATAACATTCGAAATTGTGACGAAATAGTAATATTAAAAGTAAGCATCAAACGACTGGAATCAGTATAGATTCAATATTTATATTAATCATAATTATAATCAAATAGATAATTCTTAACTAGCTTAATAGATGAATCTGGTCTCGTTTCACATCTGCCTTCAAAATCGGTAAACTATTGAACAACCCTTGACCCGTTGATAAACAAAAATGATCAAAGTGGAAATTATAGCTTCTTGATACCGATAAAAATTAACCGGAATTAACACGTAAGTTGTAGTTTGCATAAGTTCTAGGAGAAAAAGTGCCAGAATTTAAGAAGAATAATTTAAAAGTGCCAAGTTGTTTAAATAAATGAAAGCTAAGCTTATGTACTTCTACTACACTTGCATATTAAACGTTAATTTGTTGATTAATCAAATGTTAATTTACAATACCGTTAATCTAAATAGTTCATTCTTAATTTTTAAGAAAATATTCAATAAATTTAAAATCGAAACAAAATTACAATTTCAATTATTTAATTTATTTTAATTTTCAATAGTATGTAAATATAATTAATTATACTTTTTTCAAAAGTTTAAATATTATATTTGAAAAAAAAAATAGAAATTAATACTTAAATAAAATTAAAATCTTAAATTAATTACAAAATAATTTTCTATTACAAAATAATTTAATATTTTTTCAACTAAAAAAATTTTTATAATAATTATTAAGAATACATTTGGTTTAATTCAATTTAATATTAACTAAAAATCAATTTAGTGATTTAAATTAATTTTTAATATTAAATTTACAATCTAAAATAAAGTTTCATACCAAAGCAAATAAAACAGAATTAAAAAATTGCAAAAATATTAATTAACTAAAATTAAAATTAAAATATTGAACTTTTCTTTTTTACTTTTATCTTACAAATTATTATTACTATTTTCCTTTTTTAATTATTAATTTACAATAAATTTTTTTATAAATTTGTTTTTTAATTTTTAAAATAAAATTATTTTCCTTGTTTCTAAATTGAGCGTATTGATTATCATTGTTGTTTGCTTGTTTTTAATTTTAATCAGAATGAAATTTTCTAGTACATATAGTCAACTTCCTTACCCGAACTTCCTTCGATTCAAGTCTGGCTTTTGTTTATTTTTAAATATTTAAAAGATTAAGCTGTTCGGAAGGTTCAAAAATTTTTTTGATGTAAAAAAAATTCAAAATTAAGAAACATACTGAAATATTTTAGAATAGATATTTTAAGTCAGAGAGGGTTTTGAATATGTGGATGGGCGATAGGGGTCTTTGACAATACTATCAAAATTATTACGTGAAATCATAAAATTTCTGTTACATATAAAAATTTTGCTTTTCGATACATAATTTGTGTTTGTGCTATACCGAATTTGAGGTCAGAGCTAAAATCTAGAAAATTTTAAACATTTTTGTTTAAAATATAAAATTTTGATTACAAATTAGTATTGGTGTTTTTAAATCGTTTAAGCATAATTAAATTATATTGGAATAATTTTTGAAAAAGTTTCATAACTTTTTTATTTATAAGGAAATAATTTTTTAATATAAAAGTTAACACAAACTTATTGAAAACCAATTATGAACAACAATATCAATTAGAAAAGACAAAAAATTAATTTTTTTCGAAAATGTAGTTTTCATGTTATACATAATGCAATAATAACTTCAAAATTTAAAATGGTAGAAAAAATTTTGTCACAATCCTAATTTTCGAATTTGTGGCTACGGCATTAGAATTTTTTTATTTGTTAGATCGAAGACAAAATGGAAAAGGAGTTTATAATATTATTATTAGTGTGTGTAGCGAAAAATTATTACAATGAAAATTTTTGATACCAAATTGATAACATATCTGAAACTAGTGTTGTTACGGAATTTTTACTTAAAAAATTTAAAAATGATTGATATTGTGCAGAATAGTAAAAATTTTTTTCAAGTCAAATTGGGAAATTTATTACCGAAATGATTGACATAAGTAAATACTTTTGATTTTGAATAATGAGTGTCATTTGTTAAACGACTGTGCTATTAAACACAGCTATGTAAGCTGTGAAATAAAAAATAATTGGAAAATTTTATATTTTTTGATATTTGAATTTTAACAGCAAATTTAAAATTAATTTAAACGATTATGCAGCCTAAAACCCATTGAAATTATAAATTTTAATATTATTTTTCACATTTAAATTTTAAAGTGTTATTTTAATTTTCATTGACTTTCTTCTTTAATATGATAATCAAGTTTCAATTAAAAATGTTTGTTTTTTTGTTTAATTTTTATGTACAAAAATTCATTTCATTCTGTTCTATTAATTTATTTTTTTGTATTAATCAAAATTATATAAGAATTATTTTATAAAATAAATTTAATAAATATGCGTGTACTGGCTTATTACAAATACATTATCTAAAAAAAAATTTTTTGCTCACAAAAAGTTCTTCACATGTGCTACCTAATTAGTTTTTTAATAAAAATTATTTAAAAAACTCTAAATAAATACTAAAAAGTGGTGAGAATAAATTTTTGAATAATTTTTTAATACATAATTTTGGTATGTTTTTTTATCTTGTTTTTGTAAAGGGAATGGATGCGTATGAATGATTTTAAATTTTAATACTATTTACACAATATTATAAATTTTAAAATTAACTATACATAAGTTATTCATTAAGTGTATTAAAACTAGATACTAAAAAAAAAACAACTTTTGTTTTTAACATAACAATTTTAATTTTTTTTTTCACAAAATCTTAAATTTCTAATTATTTTATTTAACATAATTTTTTTTACTTTAATTTTCGTTGGATATAATTTTTTCAGCTATAATAATTTTGTTTCTTTTCAATTTAAAATATTTTCATATTTCCGACTTAAATCTAAAATGATTTGACCAGCAACTTCTTTGTTTTCTATATCATAATTACTATTATTAAATAATATTTTCCATTAAATTATATAAGTACTTCTATGTTGTCACTTCAATAGGTGCATCATTATTTATTGATTCGTTGTTATTGCATACATCGTTGTCAGCATCTGTTGTATCCTCAGTTTCATGATCCCCACCACCAAAACTCACTGGTGTATAAATACCACCTGAATATGTTACTTTTCCCATAAATAAACGTATTTCATCACATGCATCTTCACGTTCAGCTTCCGTTGATGATGGTGAATCACCAATAGCCAAACTTAAACCATTGGCATCAGCTTCATGTTTTTTAAGATGACGATCTAAATTTGTTTGTTGTCCGAAACAACGATCACATAAATGACATTTAAATGGTCTCTCTTTATTATGTATATTTCTAACATGACGTTGTAAATTACTTGAAATACTAAAGGAACGTTCGCAGTATTTACATTTATATGGTTGTTCGCCAGTATGAGTTCTTAAATGACGTGTTAAATTAGCTGATCGTGGAAATACTTTACCACAATATTTACAAGTATAACGATCTTTAATTTTACCACCTACAGTTAATCCAACAGATAAACCACCGGCTGCCATTAGAGCTTCATGAAATGGTTTGGGCGGAAACGGTCCATTTCGTTGATGTTGGTGATGTTGATGATGATGATGTTGTTGTACGGCTAGTAAATGATCAAAGCCGGCTGGCCGACCACCCATTGACCCTAAAAAAGGAAATGGTCTTTGGAAAGCAACTGCAGCAGCTGCTGCTGTTGTATTAGGACGATAAATAGCTTCTAATAGCATAGGATGTATAGGACGTGGACATGTTATTGGCGGTCCCGGTGGTGAAGGGGATGGTGTTGGTCCTGGTGTTATTGAATGTGCTGGACTATTTGGTCCAGTTGAAATTTCTGGTATTCTTTGGTTTGACGGGGTTGGTGATACTGCCATTCTCTTACTTGAGAAATGTGTTTCAGGTGTTGTTATAAGGTCTTCAACTTGTTCTCTTGAAGTCGAATTGGGTGAAGAAAGTAAACGTCGTTTGCCCAAAATTGGCTCTTTTCGTGTCATTGTCAAATCTAAAGGTTGTTCAGTTGGAGGTGAACTAGAATTCGTTTTAACTGATCTTTCACTGCTTGGAGAAGGACTAGTCACATTAATGGGCTTCTAGAAAAGAAAATTAAGGTTTGATATATTTAAATAAATATACTCAAAATAATTACAAAGTAATTAACTATAAATTACCTTATCTTCGGGAGTCTCTCTACCGTCATCAATATCTAAACCTCCACTGGTACCAGAAGCTGTTAATTTTAAATTAATGATAGACTGATTTGTGTCATCATCTGAACTTTGTGATTGTCTTGAACTTCGAGGTGAACGTTGTTCGAATTTGATTTTATTATTATCAATCGAATTTTTCGTTTCATTTTTGATTTTATTGTTTTCCACTAAATGTTGTGATAAACTTCTGCCATTTGTTAAGTTAATATCATTTCCTCCTAATTGATTTGTTGTTGTTTTGTTGTGACCATTATTAGAGGAAAAATTTGGAAAATCTAAACTTCGATTTCCAGATATTGGTGATATTTTTTCTTCCTTTTTCACTGTAGACATCGGTAAATCCAAATTGGGCTTTTGTAAGAGCAACTGAAAGTTAGGCGCTTGAGCTGGTGTTTGCGGAAACATGCCCATAGGCAAACCATAGGGTGGGAATCCAGGCGGAAAAAATGGTGGAGGTCCACGAAACATTAAAAATGGATTCGGTGGTGTACTCATAGCTGACGGTATATTATGTCCCAAAGCACTATTTACTCCTGACACTAATGATTGTGTATGCGGTTGATCAATATTATTAGAAGAAGACCCGCTACTTGTACTCAATTGGGATGGCATACGACTTCTCCTAACATCACTTGAATGTGTACGATGCTGTTGATGATTTGATGATAAATGATGAGAAGATATCGTACTATTCGGATCACAAAATCTTTTATGTTTTGATAATGATGACGCTGTTCCGAAACTTTGACCGCACTTTGAACATGTAACTTGTGTTTGACAATCGGCATGCATTCGTCTATGTCGGCATAAATTTGAAAATTGTGTATACGCTTTTCTACAAACTGCACAACGAAATGGTTTAACAGATGAATGTATATGTGTGTGTTGCTTTAATCCTGATGATGTACCAAATGTTTTACCACATTCATCACAAACGTGACTTCTAGCGCCAACGTGATGAGCACGAATATGTCGTTGAAGAATTGATGGATCACGGTATACCTAAAATAATAAAAAAAAAAATTATGAAAAAACGAAAAAGTAGTAAATAGCAAATAGAAAAACAATTTGAAAAAGTTATACAAGTAAATTAATCTGAATTCACAATTTGTTTGACTGGAAGGAGAAATACAAAAGAAAAGTTCAAAAAATTACAGATGTAAGAGTGGTTGTACAGGTAGTTGTGTCTAAAATACGCACACTTTAAAATAAATGTACTATATAAATATTGGGTACAAAACCGTGTTTGATAATAATGCTACAATTATTTTCGATTAATCTTTGAATGATTTCTGAGTGGCAAATGATTACGCACATTTTTGTGTAGGGTTATTTTTTTTATTTTTACTTTGAGACTGTGTTACAGTTTTTAATTTTTTATTTTTGGAATTTATTTTTATTTTCCATTTTCATTGGTGTCGTTATACTTTTTCAAAAAAATATTTAGATTTTAAATATATCTACGTAAAATAAATAAAGTAAATTGTATCGGTTATGTTGGGTATCAGCTGATAATGAATTAACAACAAATTATATGCAATCTTAAAGCACTTGAATTAAGCAACAATTATCATAACATTAACAATAATATAATGAAAAAAATAAAAAAAAAAAAAACAAAAAATATCAAGATAAATTATTTCTCAGCATGAGCAGTCATAGTGAATTTTCAATGTTTTTACGGTAGATCAGTTTTTGAGGCTATTCGAAAGTAATATAAGATGGAGTCAAAATTTCATTTTGAATAATTTGAATTTAGGCTTGAGAAGGACTCAAAAATATTATTTATGACTTAAGTCTCTATTTATCGACAAATTAAATCGTCCTTACTCGACACAGTATTGTAATTTTTTAACCGCTATTTGCTTACTCAATTATTTTACAAGCAAAATTTAACAGTATTAGAACTCTACTGTTTATTTTCAATTAATTTTATAAAATAATTTATTTACTTATTATTTTATTCAATCAAATTTTTCACTCCACCTTAAAATCAGTAGTACGTAAGGAGCAAAAATACAAATTTATGATTGATATCTTTAAAAATGAAAAATTACGTAAATATGATTTTAATTGTACCTACTTGTTTACTTATAAAGATTAATGTAATAATTACACCAGCTATGCAACAAAAATGTATTATATTGTAAAACTGAACACATTAAAACCAAACACTTAAAACGGCAACAATGTCATTTTTATTCTCTTTCAATTGAGAAAAAATTAAAAAAAAAAATTCCATCTCTTATTATTGTTTTACTCTCTTTGAGTTTTTGTTTTAACATTATTTTTATACCTAGGTGTTTTTTTTTTTTCTATTTTTCTTTCTCTTTAATAATTAGCACTGGTTTATTTGGTGTTAGAATAACAAAAATTCAATCATCCAGAACATTTTTATGGATATTAACGAATAGCTAATAATATTGAAGGTTGAAATTTTAATAATAATTATTATGGTGAATAAGTAATTTTGCAATATCGTAAAATGGATATGATTATTATGATATTGATAAAAAATACAAGTGATCACACCTTTAAAAGTGTGAAATATTATAGTAACAATCATGTTGCAAATAACCAGTCCAAAAGTATTGAAAATACATACAAGTGAGTGTATAAAATGTATAATTGGCATTCTTATTTTTAATCAAAATATTAATTATATTTTTTATATATACATGCACGTGTATATGTGTGTTCTCATTTAGGCATTTAAAGGATTTTTAATACATAGCTTCAAATACTTAATGTTAACATAGATAGTGTGTTAAAACACAAATACATTAATACCAAATACAATTTTAAAATAATCTTGAATCAATTGCAAAAATATTAATTTTTTATATTTTTCATAATTTTATTCTCATTTAAATTTTTGTCCAATATTAAATTTTAATACGATTGCCTCTGTTTTGTTCAAATGTTTATTAAAGATATATTAATATCGCCTAGCGCGTTTATGTCTTCACATATATACATCCATACAAATATATATATATATATACAATTATTGTGACAGAAATATGTACTAATTTCTGTTTAACATATAGCAAGAAGCTTAAAAATTTATATTTTTTACAGTCATGTGTATACTACTATATTTATATATTTCTTTGATCGATATCTAATACAGCTAATATAGAAAAAATTTATTATGAAAATGTTGGGGCGATCAATTTAAATATTAATGTATACAACATATAAACATTAGGAAATAATAAAAATAGAAAAAAAAAACAAATTAAATAAATATGATACTTATTATGTTTTTATATTTTTTTTTTATGTGGTTTGTAACTTGCGTTTGCATAGCTTTAGGCTATTTTTCATATAATAATATTAAAAGTGGAGATTTTTATCATTCAAATACCAATCGAATTTTTTTATGAAAAAAAAAAAAATGTCTTAAAATGAGCACAATTTTCAATTTACAATAAAATTTCTTGCTTCTCTTTTACATTGTTGAGTAACACAACACACAACTACTTAAGTTTTATTAATTTTTTTTTTGTAAGATTAAAATTATCTTGGTTAAAGAATGCATCTTTTATATTATTAACATGGTATGGCATTATAATGCAAATATGATACCTACTAATTTTTCTATTTCAACATTCTAACTCTTATTTTGCTTTCATTCATTTAAAAAAAAAAATTTTATAGGAGTTTGAGCTTCTAACAATCGGAATTTTAACTTTTAAAACTAAGTTGAAATTTAATTCCAAAAAAAAAATTAAAAATAAAATTTATGTATTATGTGAATCTGAATAAGAAAATAGTCTACAATAATTGTGCAGATAGATTAACACTAATGTAATTGCCTGCCTTTTAATTGACTGGTTGCAACTACCCTAGGAATAGCATTTCACCTTAGTTACAATGTCAGTTTGCCTTTTAATATTAAAATTTTTGGGCACGAAACAACATTTTATTTATCTACCTCAATTATAAAAAGATACAAAAAACTCTTGGCATGAAACGTAAATGACGTACAAATCAGTGAGTCAGTTTACTATTATGAAAATTCGATGGAAGTTAATGTTCCTCTTCCAAGATCATGAAATCAAGAATTATGTATTGAAAAGGCCTGAGTTGGGCCCGTTATATGAAACAATTCACCAAAACCTGCGCCCAAAGCTTTATAAATCGCAAGTGTTTTAAATTCACACAGAATTTATCAAGAATTCGTGCTCATTATTTTATTTAAGAAAAAATTATAGAAATAAAAATTACTAAAAAGTTGGATGGCTAGGCTATATTAATAATAGTCTTTTTTCTTTCGAATAATTTTACTTTCACAGTTCCATTTATGGTAACAAAGATTTTTTTTATAATTATTTTTGTCCTTACTTTTACTAATCTAAATATCTAATATATTATTGTAATATTTTTGCTCTCGTTTTATTTGAAAAGATGACATACCCTCAAATCTATTAAATACATAACTAGTAAAAATTTTTTTAAAAGAAAAAAAATGATATAATTAGGAGTGTGCGCACCTTTAAAGGTTATATACACAAAAAAAAAGAATAGACGACGTTAAGCCATTCAAATTCTTTTTATTTTTTTTTCAAAATACCTGTATATGTGATTACGGTATTGATAAAGAATACCATTTTGATAGCACACTTTCCATTATACATTGTATAATCATACCATAAATAGCAAATAAGACACAGATAGGCTCACTTAAACATTAATCTATATTATTATAATATAAGTGATGTCAAATGAAAACTTGAAGTTATTACGCGGGTGTTACAATTTTTTTCTTTTTACTTTTATTTCTATTTTCACATTAAAATTAAGAAATTTATTATTTGAAATAATTTTTTACAGGATGGCCTCAAAAAAATTTTTATTAGGTGACTAGTTGCAATAATTTTGTAGTTGACACGAATACATCCATTTTTCTAGAATAAAACTATTCGTTTAAATCAGAATTTTAAGTGTATATTTGATCAAGCACCAATTTTAAATATTTTTGTGAAAAATAAAAAAGAAAGCAATCGGATTCCATAGAAAAATTTATGTTTACTGTAGAAAATATTAAAATATATTCACAATAGTTTCTTATCTTAGATTTTTCCAACGATAGACGTAAGTAACTTTTATTCCAATATACTAAAAAAGCTAAGGAAATTCGAATGCTAATTTTGAGTGTCTTTAAATGGGCACAATTTAACAAAATTCTACTTAAAAATTTGATATAAAATCAATTTTTCAGATTTAGAGTGGTAATTAAAAGTGGCTAATTGAAAATTTGCATAAATTTTACAATTTGATCAAATACGAATGCACTTCACGATTCAAAAAATTACGGGGACTTGATGGTAATATTGAGCTATAAGAAAATATTTGGAGCATAAATTGGTTATTTTAAAAAAAATCTTCAAATAATACACAAAAAAAATATCCAAAATAATATCCAAAATTAATTCAAATTTCAATTCAAAATGGAATTTTTTGTTTTTTTTTTTTGTTATTTTAATTTTATTTTTTGAGGTGTGATCCATTTATAGGAACATTTAAATAATAAAATGATGAATTCAAATAAATGAAATGCGAGCATCAAATTTTTAACCAACAAAAAACTATGAACTGAAAAACACCTTTTGATCACACGCCATTGAAATGAAAATTAAAAGTTTTCTTTAAGATGTTTTTGCTATAGATTTTATTATTGATTTTCTGAGAAGAATCCATCACATATTATATATGTACCTACGATTTTGAATTATGTGCTCTTGTATTAATTTTAATGTATGTATAATATACCGAAATTTTGATGACGACCGTAGATTACCGTAAAAATATAAAATTTTAAAATTAAGAGGGAAATTCAATACAATAGTAAAATATAGATACCTACACCGTAAATGTACATATATATTAAATATCTATAATATACCTACATGTACTTAAATATTTTTGAATTATAATTCTAGCCGGAGGTGAAACAACAATACAAAAAAAAAATATTATTGTAAACTTCAGTGAGTATAGTTGCACAGAGGATCTCTAATTGAAAATACGTGTCAATTGTTTGATTACGGATTTATATTACTTTAAGCTTATATGTACATGTATGAAAAATATTTAATAGATCAGGTAAGATAAAATTGAAAAAAAAAAAATAATATTCTTTTATCTTAGATAATAATTTGACTTTATTTTTGAATTGTAGGTTTTTTTCTAATTTTAAAAAATTTTAAGTAAAAAATATTCCCGTTTTCATAGTTGTCCACGAAATTATGGAACATATAACAAAATAATTAATAAATTGATAATTAATTTAGGATATTTTGTAGGTCGCTAAGGTATTGAAAAATTTCTGTCTAATTTCTTTAGTATCCGAAAATCGTAAAAATTTATTGGAAATATTAAATTTTGTGCTTACTAGAAGCATTTCAAGATTGCAAAGATTCATGTAATAATATCGTTTACAATTTGAGCAATATTTGTAAGTAGGTATGTACTTTAATACTAATTTTCTAAAAATATATGTACCTAATTTAGAAACCGTAATTATACAATACGAAACCTATTTAAAGTTTAGAAAATTATTGAATTTAGTTCTTTCATGATTGATTGTTAGGGCCTTTTTAATATAAATTTCAGTATTTTTTAACAAGGGATGTACATTGTATACAGTAAATTTTTTTTTGTTCTACTTGGGGGCACTCGGATTTTATGCTTGACCTTAAATTAAGCAATAATTTTACAGGTTATCGAGTTAACTAGGCGACGACCAGCCTGTCATATTTATTGTTTTATTTTTAAGACCGGTACCTGCACCTTTTGTCAGATGAATACCGTAAATAATAAGTTATTATTTCGTTCCCTTATCCGTTTATCCCAAAAAATTAAAGATATTTCGTAGATATTGCAAGCATATGAAACATTGCATATATGTACATACGTCACTTGTATATACCTACATAATAAAAGAACATACTACATATTAAAATCTATATCTAGTACACATACTCAAGTATATATATTTAAACATAAGTAAATAAATTGAAACACAAAATATCATTAAGCATGCCTTAAAATTTCTAATTCAAATAAATTTTTATAGAAAACTTTTTAATATTACAAACAGACGAGTTAAAAATTTTAGAATAATTTTTTTAATTTTTATATTTCTTCCCACCATAAAATGCGTTAAAATAAAAGCTTCTTTGAAATATTGTGATAAAATTATTATATTTCACTCTTATTTTTTTTTCTCCTTTTTTTACATATATGTACATATATGTACATTTATGCCCATCGCAAATTACATGTGGGTGGTGATGATATTACAAAAGTAAGAAATAATATAATATTATTAATAACGTACATGCATGCAAATGGTATTATCGATCTTATTCGACATAAATATAATATGTAAAAATATCGCAATCGATTTTATTTTATTAATCTTTTTTAAATATTTTCGATAATTTAAGTGTATTTGTATATGTATACCAAACTTATCGTAAAATAAAATAAATAAAATCTTGAAATTTTAATGGAGTAAAATTTTATATAAATTTTTTTTATTATTTCGATTATTCATTAATTATATATTAATGACTATGTTTATGTATAGTTAAGACATACACATGCAAGTAATGGATACATAAACGATTCTCAGTCAAACTGTAACATGGCATATACGTAGCTACATGCGGTTGATAATAAACAATAATTTTAATAGTTTATGCGTATGTTTTGGTTATCTTTTTAATTTAGTTGGTTTTCGTGACCTAAATTTGTCTATCATCTTCCCTGGGGTGTTTGAACGCATAACGCATGTAAAATATTTTGTACATGTCCGTAAGTATACTATCAATTCTATAGTCAATATTTTATTTGTATAAAGGAGAATTTAATAGCGGTGTATTGATTGATTTAATATTGAGAATTTAATAACGGTGTATTGGTGAGAAAGATTGTAAAGTGCGGCGAAAAAATGTTTAATAAATAACTAGGTATATAAAAGCTTCCTTTTTGGCGAATACCCTTATAATGCTTAAAATCAGTACTTAAATCATTATTCTTAACTTCTCTCCAACTTAATAATTATTTAAGGGAAGTTTTTGTATGGTAAGTAAAGACGATCCCCACATTCTACCTATCCATACCTATAATAGAATTTCAATGAGTGGGTAAAAATCATGGATTCATGAAAAAATTAATTTAAAAGTTATTTATTTTAATCATATAAGATACTTTAGAGTTAAAAAATGAATGATAAATGAGGAGGATTTCACTTTCAATAAAATATGATTAAGTGTTATAGTTGCTGAATTAAGGTTAGCATTATGTAGCTATGCTTTTATTTAGATAACAGATTATGAAAACTTTCAAAGTCATATGATATTCAAATTAAAATTAAATAAGCGTGTTCGTGTATTTTATAAGTTCCTATTTTAAAAAAGCAAATAAATACTCACTTTTGAACAATTTTCACAAGGAAATTTTTTTATTTCACCGTGCGATACAGCTCGATGCCTTAATAAAGATGGCCGATGACAAAAACTTTTTTGACACAATTCACAAACGGAAACTCCTTTTGGATAATGATGTTCAACAACAAGATGATCTTCTAAACTGTAAGTTGTTAAGGAAAAATAAAATTGGTTATTATTAAATTAATATTGATTTCTGATTTTATAAATATTAAAAATTCTTTATTTAAATATTCTTATATAAATCACTATATACATTCGAACGTAAATATTTAAAATAGCTAGGATTTGAATAAATCAAATTAATTCTTTATAAATTCGCTCCCCTTTGCTCTTAAAAAAAAAAATACTATAAAAATCCATTAAAAATATTGAATTTATTATGAGCTGAAAATTAATCAAAATTACTAGTGATGACAAAAACTAACTACTATTTGCGCTTACAATTAGTGAAGAATAATTGGTTTTGATTTTTATAAATCCGATAGAGTGGGTACTCAAACATATGTGAATATGCATGTTAACCCAAAATAATATGTAATTAAATCACTTCAACGTTTTAATAATTTTTCATACATTAAGTGGCTTTCCTTTTTTATGTTTGTGATTTCTGAATTATTTATAAGATGAAACCATTAAAAAAACAACAAGAACTAACTATGAATACCCTTAAATGCGCTCATCTATGCAAACAAATGAAATAATAAAGCTATAATTATAATAAAAATATCCTTTACAGTTATAGTTTGCGGTTTTCTAGGTGAAATATTTTTTTATTTGCATTTTTGTTACTTTTTATATTTTTCATTGCAATGATAGCTTTTTATCACGAATAGTAATTTAAATGCCAATGTTATGTTAAAGAAATAATAAAACTATTCCTCTTCCAATTGGATTGACTAGGTTTTCTGAGAATCTACCCCATATTTTGTTAAATTTTAAACCCTTCTATGCCGTTGAAAGTGAATTCAGTACAAAAATGAAGCAAAAACTATCTGTTGCTAGAACAAAATTTGTTTTAAATTAAGATAGAAAGTTCCAAATGTTTCTGTATGTCTTATAGCTATGTTACAAAGATAATATATGAATATATGAGATCACAATGAACTTTTTAAATTAATCTTAAAGTGATTTTCAGTTCTATAGCGGCCACCTACAATAGCAGCCGTTCTTGGCAGAAATTAAACGATTTCTGAAATTTAAGAAATACGTTTTTTTCGTTTTTGATTTATCTATCGAGTGCATAGACGGGCGCTTTTTAATTAACACAGAATTTCAACCTGAGCAAGAATGTATACAGGTTCATACCGCAGACTCCTTTAAGTAGGTGCACAAACTCCATACACTTATTTCTACACACTTATTTCTAGTTTATTTTTGTGGTTTTGTTGCATTTAGGTGTATTAAAATGTTGGTTTAGCAATAAATCATAATAGAACTCTAAATCTGACAAAAAAATATATTCTTCTTTGAACGTGGCTTAATTTCTTTAATAATTTCTTCCATATAAAAATTAGAATAAAAATTGAAAAATATACTAAGAAAATATACTAAGCGGTTTTAAATCTGAAATCTTTCCACCGCGAATATATAATTCGAAATGTAGACCGTGAAGTTATCTAATTTTTGAACATACCGAGAGGATTGGTCGTAATGCAAACTATTCATGCAAATGTTACTGTAAGCTTCCTTGATATAGTCAACGATTCATTAATATAACAATCAACTTGTTTTGCACCACGATTTGGTACTCATGACTTTTTCAAATCACTGAATTTAAATTTGCTTCAAATACTTCATTAATTACACAAAATATTTTCGCTCATATAATACCACGGTTTTCTGGAGTTCAAATTGAAAATATTAATATTGAGCACCCCAATCAAAGAAATCTACAATCAAATACCAATTTAACGAATAGTTTTATGTTGATTAATCTCTTAAAAAAATAAAATTTTAGACATCAAATTACAACATAATTATAATTCAAAGGTTACTTTTTGTTATCAATCACAAGTGTAATGAACAACAAATCAATTAAAAGAAGCCGCAATGTTGAATTTGAAAAAAAAATTCTATTATTTCCATATGGGAAAATTTTCAAAATAATGTACAATTTTTTAAGACAATTTCCAATTAATAAAATTGTATATGAGTTTACATGCATAGTTTATTTACCCAAACATAATTCAATATTTTAACCACGCGTTCAAATAAACCGAACGTGTCCGTGTTTTAAATTATTTACCATGTATGTATGTATATTTCAATTTAAATGACCTAAAATTTAACGAAGACAATAACAATTTATTTTGTTGTTTGGGAAGTCCTCGTGAAGAGGTCTACAACACTTGTGTTCACGTTAATTACATATATAATAATGTTATGTACAATGTATGTAGATACAATACATGCTCTGATAAGCATCTAAATTCACATGATTTTTTTATTTTTCTTTTGTATACAAAAACATTTTTACTTGATTGAACTTTAATTGTTAATTATTACGTTCATTTTACCTTCAATCTTGTTTTGATTCATTTCAGTTTAAATTTGAAGGACTTTTAAAAAAGAAAGAAGAATAGTTTGTAAATAAAATATTGTCAGTCTGTTATGGTAAGAAGTCGCTGAAAAGCTCATTTACGATATGTTTTCGGATTTAAATGTGAATGGATTCAATGCAGAATTTCTTCGAATACATGACAAAGAAACGAGTATCCGAAAAATCCTCATTTCGCATTGCTTTATTTTCAGCTATAATTTATTACTAGAACACAAAGCTTTTAAAACAAATTACTATCAGGCAGAGCAGCAAATTTTGAATATATTAGACCTAAAACTCAACTAGTTTTACGTATACAATTAAAATTTGTTTTTTAACTTCTGTAAACAAATTTCTTCTTTAATTTTACTGCAATTAAAATTTTTTTTTTTAACTGATGACATCTTGTGAAATTTGCCATATGCTTAATTACTATTAAAAAATAGTAGCCACACAAATAAAAATTAAATATAAAAATACACTCTTTATCGTAATAATATTTAGATCAAATCAGTAAACAACAAAAAGTAAGTCTTAGGGTATCGACTACTAGAAATTTATGCTCATGATTGCATGAAAAATTTATTAAATTCAAAAGTGTGCGCGATTACTAATAACAAAAAAAATTTGTAAATGCGCAGTAACTTAAAATTAGTATCTATATATAAATTAAAATTCTATAACAGGTACTTCTTTCAAATCATTGGTAGACTGAGATTTCCATTGTATCATCAAAATATGAAAATATTCATTTTAATGATGGAGAGTTCGTCCTTCCGTCTCTTTGTCTGTCCGTCCAATTACAATATAAAGCGGACATTTTTAACACAAATAGGTCTTCACCAGAAACTTATTTCTGCAGAAGAAAATTGTTACTTGTCCCTTTAAAAATTATATCCCCTATTTATTGTAACGAAATCACAAATATTTTTTTTAAATTTTGCAAACATGGAAAAGTAGTGGCTGTAGTAAAAGTATTATAGTAACTCTGAAACACATATTTTTAGGTTTCGTTGTAATTTAATTAATTTTATGAAATATGTAAAAAAATTTGAATACATTTCAAAAATTTAAAAGCAAAATTTTGCGAAAATCTAATTTTTAAAAATAAATCATTTATTTATTTGCTTTTAAGCTATTCCATAATAAAAGCGAATAATTGTGTCCTAAAGTATTCAAATCAGGATTTCGGAATTCCGAAATTAATTTAGTTTTATAAAATTCAAAATTCCGAATTCTAAATAAATCGAATTGCGGATTATTCGATTTTCTACATTTTTCGTGTTCTCTTTCTAATAAATCATACGGAATTCCAGCAAGTGGCCTAAACATAATTTAAAAAAAAACTGTTCGTTTTGTAACGGTTTGTTCCAAAATTTCCACGACTCTGTGTGTAAGTATAACATAAATGTATAACATAAATAACATGTATAATAAAAATACTATATTATGATTTTGAATTATTTTAGTACTTGGAAACTACTAGAATTTTTTAAAATTGTTGTTGCTGTAGCAGCAAATACAAAAAAAATTTAAGTATATTCTTTACATACTTTCCGGCAAAAATAACTTGGTATTAGGAAAATCGTATACAAGTATGAAATCTATGTCGGAAATTAAATTAAAAAAAAATATATTTCAGGAATCTCTGGCAATATCTGAAAATACAACGTATTGTTAAAACAAATATTTTTCTGAAATTTAAATTGGAAACGTGGAAAAAAAATACTTTCAAGTTCTGTCATTATAATTAAGAAATTAAAATAATTTTTAATAAAATACTGGGATTAAAATTTGTTTCTATTATTTTGTCTTAATACTTTTCTCAATAAGGTCTGTGAATATTATGGATATTCTTTTTAATTTTTATAAATATTATTAACTTATTAAGTAATATGTGATCTAATTTGAATTAATTTTCAAAATATTTTAGAACCACTCTATAGAGTAAATTATAATTTCCTCTAGATTAATTTGACCAAATATTATTAATTTCTTTAATTTCCTTAATTTATAACAGATTGTCTTACTAAATGCTGGATAAGTGTATAGATATTAAGCTAGTGCTACTTACAAATTTATCAATCAACTAAATTACATGTATTTATCACCTTCATCAATACATGCTATTTTATATTAAATAATACCTATAATCAGAAAACATTCTAAATGTTATATAATAATCATTCATTTGTTAAAATATATAGTGCATTAATTTCTTTAGTCAATTCCCACCCATAAATATTATTTCTTATACTCTACTTTAAAGGAACTAATGTAAATTATTTATATAATTTCAAAGAAAAAAAATTTCTACACCATACTTAGAAAATATTGTTAATCTATATAATTATAATAAAATATACAAAATTGTCCGCCTTATTCATTTGATGACATCAATCCAATATTAAAGTATATGGACAGAAGGATAATTGTGTTTTATTATACTGTAATACACATATTATATACAAAAATATAAGCACTTTTAATCGTAAATCATATTTATTTTTAATTCAAGCGCTTCAATATTTCAGAATACAAGACAATAGGAAGAAAAAAATATTTATAATATTGTGGCATATTACTGAAAAAAAAATTAAAATAATATTGAAGAAGGTGGAGAAAATTATAGCTTTCAATCAGATATTCTCAATATTATTACAAAAAGGACAACGATTACAATTTAATATACATAAAACTATAATAATAAAACACAACATATTATGCACGTTTAATGTTCGTATTTAATGTTATTCTCCGAAATACAAATTACTTTAGATACAATAAATGACCCACAATTGAAATTATTTTTTTTTGAGTGGTTTTGTTTTGTTTACTGACTTGTAGCAACTCTATACTTTGTAAAGCAAAACATTTTTCCCCCTTTTTTCTTCATTTTCCTATAATTATTTCCTTAAAAATGAAGTACTAAAAGGATCCATCGGGGGACATCATTCTTACATTCTGATGGCATCAATTAAATTTTTTTTTTTGTGTTTTTGTTTTTCTATTTTCATTTATATAAATTATTTCCTAATAAAATATTTACTTTTAAGTAGGTGGTATCAATGAGCTTTCAATAATAATTTCTTATATAATATTTGTATTGTATTTCTAATTGTGTATATAGAAAATTGAAGGATAACAGGAACGGAACAGTATACATAATATATATAATGTAAGAAGTATAATTTTTTTTTCTGTTATTTGTATTATTGTGACAGCAGTAACAAGGTAAAAATTAATGAATATGCTGAAAGTATTTGGAAAAAAAAAAGAAAATCAAAAATTTGGAAATTTTGTGGGAGGTTTATGAATCCTTTTATTAATAATTTTTTGTTCTTATTATAATATTTCAGTGACAATAAATGAAAAGTAAAGGATGATATTAAGAATATTATAATTTCGATATGATTATAGTTAAATGAATAGTTAATTACTTCATCTTTATGTTGGAATCTTTATTTTATGCGATAGTTACTTTATTAAGGCGTTAATGCGTTCGCAAATCTTAAACTTTTAATTAAATTTTTATTAAATCAAAAATTCCCGTACATATTTCTGAACATTTATTTTACTTTCCTATAAGTACTTTATCCCAGTGTCACAGGAGAGTTGACACTTCTACTCTTAAAATAAATATTAATTTGGGTTTTTACTTAGTTACTTTATTAGAGTAATCTGCATTTTACTTTATTCGTTAATTAAAATTTTATTGCCTAATAAATTAAATTGTGATCAAATTGCGCTCCAACATTTTTATTAAAAATAATGGGTAAGGATTATAAATAGATAAGAATTAAAAATCTATAATTGTGTGTAGTTTTTGGATTTATAATTTGTACATTTTATTTTGTAAATAAAGAATTGAAATTGCTACGTATCACAATATTTTTACACAATTTAAACTAATACCTATAAAGTTTAATAAAATTTTTAATTCTCCTACTATATTACATTCAGGATTAAATAACAAAAATGCATTCTTAGTATTGAAGAAAAGCTGGTCAAGCAAATTTAGCCTTATATTTCCCCGAAACAAATGTATATTTTAATAACATACTCTTTAAAACATAAGTGCGTATAATTTTCTATAAATATTCCAAATAAATATTAAAATATGAAAAAAAAAATTTCGAATAATTAGACAAAAAGTCATCACACAAAACTTCAAATCAATATAATTCAAACAATATAATAGGTTTAGACCTTTAATTACCCACATATAATTGAGTTGAAGAATGTTAAATACGGATATATAAAAAAAGAAACTCAAATATAAAAACTATAATAATTAAAATAGTAAGGGAAATGAAAGGGTTCCTGCCATCAATACAAAAACAATAATACGTGACAATAAAACAAAAAAAAAAACAAAATCAACAATATTTTTAATGAATAGAGAACGCGACCGGGGTGATGTAAAAAATGTCATATGCTGTTGAAAATCAAATTTCTTATATTAAAAAAAAAATTAGCGTTAATTAGACAGGCTCAAATATACAACATATTATTTGTTCATCACATATGTATATAATATGAACGAGTAAATTAATGTACATTTGTGTGATTCTATGTTCATAATATCCAAATTCAATACATCTATATATAAAGGCACAAAATATTGTCAATAAATTGATATCCATATACATTTATTCCTATGTAATTGAATATGAAAAAAATTCAGTAATGTTATCATCGAGTCATCTAAAATAAAATATTAAATGTCCAAAAATACAATGCCTATGTACATTTAAAAAATTATACTATTCCTTTGGTGAAATGTAGCAAAAATTTCAAAAGTTTTGTGTGTGAATGTAGCAAATGCATTGGTTTAATACTTAACGGGACAGGTGAGATATTTAAAACATATAGCTACTTTCATATTTCAAAGAAATTTATATTTGCATTAATATTATTGAAAAATTTTCGAAATAAAATCCAAATGATAGAATAAAGTAGTTTACTCCTAGAATTCTTGCTGATTTTCAGGTAAAAACCTTTTAAACCTACCAATATTTAAAACAACAAAATGTAATGGGAATATAAGTACTTTTATTTTTAATATACAAGAACGTAACTGTACAGAATAAGATTGTAATTGTACAGTCCTACATGACATGACCCTAGATAACTAGAATATTTCAACGTATTAATGAACTTAATATGGTAAGGCGCCGCCTTTACATGTACGAAACATTTGCTTCCTATCGTTGTACCCTTAAAAAAAGAGTATAGCTGAGAAGCAGTTACTAATAATTTAATAGACAATCTTGATATTTCTGTACAATAAAACAATTTTCTATAGAAATTCTTAGGTAATCGTGATAGAAGTGTTCTATTTGAATACTTTGAATATTTTCAAAATCTATTCTTTTCTTCCAAAAAAGGAATGCAAACCCTTTCATTATATTGTAGTAAAGTTACTCCAATTGAAATAACACGAATATTCTTACATAATATTAAAAATTCATAGTAATGAAATAAAAAATTTTTACTATTTAATTTTTGATTTTTTTTTCCTATATTTTCTTTATTATTTTGTAAGTTTAAGACATGATAAAAAAAAATTTTGATATCTTCAGACGGACATTTGAAGCTAATTCACAATATTATTTTATAAGTAATCAAAATCATACGCATACCAAGAAAAAGTCGAATGATTATTGACTTTACACATAAATGACATGAAAAGAGTTAAAATTATACAAGGCGTATGTATGTAACTATGTACGCAAACATGATTGCTTGTAAATAAATTATTTTAATTGATTGTTTGATACCAATTATCCGAATTGTTAATAAAGGGGTTAAACTGTATATTTAACACTCTTAGCGTTCTTTCATATTTAATCAGCACTTTTTTCTTTTATTAATTTCTAAATTTTTATATTTAATTTTTGGGAATCAAGCAAATGGTCAAACAAAAAAAAATTATTCATTAATTCAATTGATTCATATACACATTCATATATACATTGTGTACACATATGCAGATGTTAAAGCAATGGGTACATCAAAAGTTCAAATATGAATAATATTGTTAATTATTGTAAATGTCAAATAAATAAATAATTTCAATATACTTCAATAACTATATGGTTAACTTTTTAATAAAATTAATTCTAATTATTAAAATCGATTTGTATTGAAGCGTAAAAATTAAAAATTTATAAGCTATACCGGATTTTTATACCCGTACGAACGTATGTTCGAAGGGTATACTAAATTTGCCTTACCGTTTGTAACGCTAAGAAATAACGGTCTTAGATATAGACTCAAGTGTATGTTTTTGATCAGCGTCAAATTCTGAGTTGATTTAGCTTTGTCTGTCCGTCCGTCCGTCCGTTCGTCCGTCCGTCCGTCCGTCCCAACGATAACTCAAAAACTAATTGAGCTAAGTTCACCAAATTTTCACAAATAATTTATTCTAGTAAGTGCCAGAACCCTATTTAAATTGGACATGATCGGGGTACCGGTTCGGGTAGCTGCCATACAACTTCAAAATTTATTTGGCTATATCTCAGAAACTATAAAAGCTGTGATATTGAAATTTCACACAAACGAATAAATTAATTGGGCCAATGTGTCTCATAAAACTCGTTGAAATTACTTGACTCCTTCTGGTACCTGCCATACAACTTCAAAAGTTATTTGACTATATCTCAGAAAATATTAAAGCTATGATTTTGTAATTTCACACAAACGAATATATTAGTAGGGCCAATGTGTCTCATAAAAGTCGTTGGAATTACTTGGCTCCTTCTGGTACCTGTCATACAACTTCAAAAGTTATTTGACTCTATTTCAGAAACTATTAAAGCTATGGTATTGAAATTTCACACAAACGAACATATTTGTAGGGCCAATGTGTCTCATAAAAGTCGTTGAAATTATTTGGCTCCTTCTGGTACCTGCCATACAACTTGAAAAGTTATTTGGCTATATCTCAGAAACTATTAAAGCTGTGATATTGAAATTTCACGCAAGCGAATATATTAGCAGGGCCGATGTGCTTCATAAAATTCGCTAAAATTTCTTGGCTCTTTCTGGTAGCTGCCATACAACTTCAATAGTTTGGCACAACCAGTATTGAAAAACACATAGTACTGAAATTTTGCATAAATTAATATGGTAATACGGCAACTTAAAGTCACAGTCTGGCTCCATAGTTAGTTATGGTACATTAGTTATTCGCACATAGGATAACAAATTCGTACGGGTATCACAGAGTTGACAAGGTCAACTCTATTTTTTTTCTCGTTTTATTTACAAAATTGTCCAAATTTAAATTGTATATATGCTTCTAATTTATGCAAATAATAAATCACTTCAGTTCTCAAATCTATTAGAAAAATTTCGTATTCGCAAAAACGAAAGCTTATAATATATAACACTATTTAACTGCGAACTTCCATAACCGAATTTATTCAAAATATTAGAATAAAGTAACGAAATTAAGTAAATTTGAGTATAAGGAACACAATAAAATTAAAATATATTTGATTTAAAAAGAATTTTAAGTAGTCTGATTAGTAGGAGATTCGACGATATTTAATTTTTTAAATAAGTGTTAGTTGTGAAGAAATTTGTAATTGAGTTTTAAGTTATAGTTTGGATTTAGTATTCAAATTGTATTTCTGGACATTTTTATGTTATTTAAATTTTTAATTTAACAACATTTCACTATTTTTGTTTTACCATAGATGAGTTGCAAATTTAATTCAATCGAAATTCATATTTATTGAAAACTATAATTTTATTATATAAAAAAATAATATGGCCTATAATCTATATTATTAGATATAATATTGTTCTTGGTTTCTCGTACTGTCAGACTAGGCTTACATAAAAATTTCAGGGAAATACGCTGATTATTTTCTTAAATATAGTTAGAAACGTAAAATTGGCCCGTAATAAAGATTCAGTTCCAGAGACCACATATATCCAAAAAGTTGATTAAACCGTCTCATCCTCAATAAAAACTAGTGACATAAATTCTTATGAAAATCAGTCAAACCGAAATTGAAACACTGATCTGTACAGACAGACCAACCGACAAACATCTTTCTAAAAAATAGTCTAATTACGCTTCCCTAACATAGAAACACACATTCCCGCCGAAAACTCAACATGCAAAATTTGGGTGTTATCACATAGCTTGCATTATTGCATACAATGCAGTTGGTTAAAAAATTAAATATTAAAAATCGTTCTAGAATTAAAAAAAAAACCTTCTTAATATATTAAATACTTACTGATCTACATCAAGACATTGACGATCACAAACAACACAACGAAACTCAAATCCATCTTCATCATCGGTATCGGGATCTTTTATACTATTATTACTATTATTATTATGACTATAATTATTATTATTATTATTGTTGTGATTATTATTATTATTGTTACTATAATAACTACTATGACTGTTATGACTATTATTGTGATTATTATAAATATTATTACTATGATTTTCTCTAATTGAATTTTGATGATGATAGTTATGATTTCCAGTTGAACTATTATTATTATTATTACTGTTAGTACTATTGCCTAATTCAGTTGATGTATTAAAATCAACATCTTCATAAGGTGTGCTACTATGTTGAGATCCTATAATTAAAAAGGAAAAAATAAAATATAAAAATTGTAAATCAAAAATATATTTTAAAGTATTGTAGTTACGAGTATTAATTAAAAAAATTAAATATAAAGATTCAATGAAATTTGTTCAACTTGTGCTACACTATGTATGTAGTCGAATATCATATCCGAATGGTTTAATACAGTTTTGTACATTTAGAATTGCCAATAAATTTCCCATTTTTCAAATAAAGCAAAGGCAAAATAAAGATATTCATGTTTCCCGAAAATTTTAATTTTTTTTTTTTTTGAATTTCGAGCATTTTTCTGAGAATCTACATATATAACAATTAAATACATACACATACATTTATACTTCAGATTTCTTTAACCCAAGTTGAAAATACGAGATTTTTTAAATTTGAATATTCAAACATTTTGTATTTGGAAAATTGATATTAAGATTGGCTAATTGACAAGATGTTAATACACATTTTGTATAATTGTGATAAAAAATTTTTCTGATTTCCAAATCTAAGTACCTAGGAATCCTATACGGAGTCTGCTTAAAACTTCAACTAAAATTGACGTGAAAATTTAAGCTTCCTATCCTAAAAGAATGTATTGTTCTGACAATAAACCGATGTATGTGATTATGCTGTTTTTAATTCCTTCAAAAAGACTCCAAATTACGTAATGGGTTTGCGTGGATAACGAGTTTCATAGCTTCAAATAATAGGCTCTTAAGTCTTATGTAATATTGTTTTTCCTTTAAAACATTTGTAAGTTTTTTAAGTGTTCGTTAGTCTCCGAGGGGTCAAGTATTTTTTTAATTATTCCAAGAAATTGGTTAAAAAACTAAGTATCAAAAAAGCTCATATTTAAGTAAAAATCTGGTAAAAATGGCGAGCACAAAAAAATTATTTTCTACTAAAAATTCTATGCTATTATAAATTGAAATAAAAAAGCTGCCAACATTTTAAATTTTAAATTTCCCAATTAAAAACAAACTTAAACACTCGAAAATCCTTAAATTTAAAATAAAAATTGAAAATTCTTTTACCTTTTCTTTAAGATTTTCTAATATTTTTAAAAGTTCTTTGATTTTTTTTCCCGAACTCTTTCTATAAATGTTCAATAAATCAATTTATTTATTTTTTTTTTTTTTTCAAATTTATCACTTTTAAAAATATTTATTTTCACTTAAATTTTTGCTTTTATTTTTATTATATTAAAAGCGGAAACACATCTAAACTCTTCTTCAACCGAAAAACAAGTGGCTTCAAGTGGTCATCTAACAATCAAAAATATAATATAAAACAGAAATAGTACAGAATATGAAAAAGGAGAAATAAAACGAAAAAAAAACTTCATAAAAACCTAAAATAAAACCTTATAATAAGTATTTCACCTGAAAGGACACCACATATTCATCCTTCCCACATATAAAAATATCCTTCACATATAAATGTGGAAATTTCATATTAATAAAATATAAAAACATCATAAAACGCAAAATAATTTTCTACAAAAACAAAACAAAAACAATATTGAAAACAAAAGGGAAAAAAAATTATGGAAATAATTACCTGTAAATTTACCTTTGTATATATAGGAAAAATTTTATATTGGCACCCCAAAAATTATACGAACAACAGAAAACAAAAACTACGAAATTGAATGAAAAATGTGTCTTTATTTTTATCTTCTCTTACCTCTTCACATACACGCTCCGTTGAGCCCGATTCTACATACACACACACAAATGTATATAGATCAAAATCTATCACCTCTTCATAACTTCCAATTCACGATTTTACTTTTTTTTTATTATTCCCTATTCAATTGTTTTGCATAAACTTAAAATATTTTTTTTAAACAAAAATGGTGTACACAAACACATTTTTTTTATTATTCTTATACAATATTATCAAAATAAAATATGAACCCCTTACTTTTAAGCGTGTCCCATACAAGTATTTTAATGTGTAACGAGAATAAAAAAAACAGAGAAAAACACCTGAATTCAATCAAAGGACATGCATATTTAACCATATAGAAAACATAAAAATTAAATATTAAAAACAATAATTCACCTCTACAGGTGAAGTTTAATCGTGACTTTATTTTACCATGAGTCAAAATATGTCGTTATAAGTCAAGTTTTCAAATGAAAAAGTCAAAAAAAAAACGAAAATTTGCTGTAAATTTAAATTGTAATGAACGCCATTCTTTTTTTTAAGGTCATTTGGTCATAACTACAATAATAATGAGATTATATTGAATTTTCATTTCAAATAATTGGTGCGAATTTACAGAAGAAGAACATTTTATTTATGTATACAAAAAAAATAGAGGTGTAGAACGAAAAAATTCTGTTGAAAAATTCAATATATTGATTTAGAAATGGAGACAATAGCGTACATGTTAAATTTTATGTGATTAGAAAATTTTAGTCTCAAAAATTAAGCATTGTAGCAATATGAAATCTTCAAATCCAAAAGCCCAAATTGATATTGCAAAAATTTTATTTTTTACTGAAATTTAAACAGATATCCGAAATTGTAGTTTTATTTAAAAAAAAATAACTAATTTAACATTCAATCAGCCACCATCCTTCGAATTATTAGGATTCAACCAAATTTTCTTAGATTCTATGCAAATTTAAAAATGACGAATGATTTTTATTTTGTGCTTCTTCCAAACTTAACCAGTCTTTGTTTTATTGTTTTTTTAAAAATTAAATTTTATTCTAAAACTAATATTAGGGTCCACTTAATTCGAGTATTTCATTATAAGAAAATGTTTTGCAATAACACAGACGCAATATTTTTAAAATTTGAAATTATTTTGTGGAATAGAGAGAAAACATATAGTATATAGAGACATGAAGAAATCTTGAAACAGAAGTAAAGTTGACATCATAATCTATAAAATCATGCAAACATTGAAAACAAAAAATGTATAGTTGAACATTGTGAATGTAAGGGTTAAATTAAATTTTCAACCGATATATTATACAATTCGAAAAATAAATTTTGTGATAAATCAAAAAAAATATAAATTTTCTGCAAAATAAAATTAATATGTTAGAATTTTATGCTTATGTAAAAATTAATCCTCTCGATAATAAAAAATGATCAATGATGCCCCTATTGTTACCGCTTACAATAACTATTACACAAACCTTATTAGTTTTAATCGAAAAACAAACATATAAGAAAGTTGCAATCATAAAACATATTAAAAATTAGATAAAAATCTGGAAAAAAAAGGATATTTTCATAATCCTTATAAAAACATAAAATTTTTGTTACTTTTATCAGTCATCGCAATTCACCCTCTCTGATAATGCGGTTTACCACTCTACATAAATTTTTATTTTACCCATTTTACTGTATTTTTATATAGTAACACAAAAGATATGATCAATTACAATCACATTGTATTTAATTAAAAATCCTCACCATTATATTTCGTGAGCATATTTGCCTCCACGAGCTTCTAATTTTATTTGCAAATGTTAAGCAATGACTCCGTATTATAGTCGTATTCTAAAAATGCATTCTTCATTTTTTTCGTCATAAACAAATCTATGATATTTTAAGCAAACGATTTGAGTGCCCTTATATTATGATGTCATACATAAGCGCGTGCGTACATCATTTCAACCCCCAGAAATCTCTTTTATTTTATCAAAGAATTAAGTGAAATATATCAATTCATTTGGCTTTTTTTGTTGTTGTCTTTACTTGTGTTAATATTTTTCGTATTATATAATAATTGTGGTACATGGGTTTTCAATTAGAAAATTTCTCGCGCTCAATTTAATCTTAAAACATCACTTAAATATTATCAATAAAAATATATCAATGACAAGAATAAAATATTGGTGATAGCACATTGAAAAACAACAATTTAATGAAAAATATGAAATATTTCACACATTTTAATCAGTAATCGCTGTCCGTATAACTATTGTTAATATTATTAACTATGATAGTAAGGGCTCATATTGAAATTTTCTTGTTTATTTTTTATTTTAATCTTTGCCTTTGTTGATTTTTTGACTTTAAATTATAGTCCGTTCTTATATATTAGGAAATAGTATTGGGCAGGATAATATAAGTGACATTAATTCCTAATGATGTTATCATATATTGGTGAAATCTTGTATAATACTACCATATTATACAATGTCATTTCAAATCTGCTACCATCATATAATAGTGAGTAGATATCAAAACAATAAACTAAAAAAAAAGGAAACGATATTTTAAAATTTTTCCCCTTTTTAATTCCTATATTTTTCAAAATATTAATAATAAATTTGTAAGAGTTAAAATATTTAGTTGGGAATATGGTTAGCAGTGTAACTGCCACCGGACAATTTTTTTATATTGATTATCACTATAAAACAAAAATGAAGAATGAAGGGATGCTGCGGTAATTTTTGATATTTAAAATGTTATTGTTGCGCACGCACCCTTAATTATAATACAATTTTTGGTTTAAAATTTTATCAATAAGAATGTGAATTTTTTTTTCTAAAATTAAGATGTTCTTAAATTCATAGTACAATTAGAATTTTTTTTGAAAATGAAACATATTACATCTAATAGTAAAATGTGGAGGAATAAATTGCTTGTACTGCGGTCCTCTTTGTTAGTTTTTTAATAACTCTTCCGTAAATTACTCTAAAATGTTTGAGATGTGTGATTTAGCTACATCGTACGAGTGTTACGATAATTGGTGGCAAGCTGTAATAAATATAGGCGAACGATCTTTCGAAAAGAGGACTAAGTATATTCTTGTTTTAGGCTCTAAATGAGAAAGAATCGTTCTATAAAGTTATGATGTCAGTTATTATCACAAGTCTTAGAAGAAATAGCAATAATAAAATATTTTATATGACTCAGAAGTAACAAAAGTAAATTCGGCCTAAATGATGCACTCAATTTCACAGTAGAATAGATCTTGAAAGATTTATTGGTCTATAATGGGTCGCCTTCCATTGTTCCCAATGCTAC